CTATGTGGCAATGGGTATAATATCATTATGGGGCCCTCAATAAATCTCTGCTAATTGTCCTCAGCAGTGGCGTCGCGTGGGTTGCAGACAATGTGGTGCATAATTGGAAAGTGAGCAAAAGGGCAATAAGCTTAGTAGCTATTATTTAGATTTCTAGAGAAAGTCCATTAGAATCTGCAGCATACCCCGTAATCTAGATCTATCGATATTTACAACTGTTTCTACATGAAACCGCATAAAAGCTGCAATAAAGTGAAACAATACTAACAACTCACTATGCTCACCATCTGAGAAGATTTAAAGATTTCTAATTACTTTGTGCAGCACCAGGACTTGCTACACAATAGAGGGAGAGAGGGAGACAACAGTTTCGATACCCATTCTTCATTGAGTTACCGTAGACTCTACCAGTTGTAGTAGATAGGCTCGCGGAAACTTGGATCAAATTTGTAGCTTGCACCAAATTTGTGCCGCGAAGAGCAGTTTCATGCACCTTTCTTCTTGTGCGAGAAGGGCGATGCCTAGATTTCGCTACAGTGACAAAAATAACTTTGGTACAAAGATTTTGCTTGCTCCCAGCAGACACTATCGCAAGCGGTGCGACGAGCATAAACCATCCTCGCCGTCTGTCTCTTCACTGGCGCAGCCAGCGGGTGACGGACCGCAAGGATTTAGTTGTAGATCTAGAGCACTGATTGGTTTAGAACAATTAGAAAAACGAAAGGGGGGGGGGGGTTGAAGGCCAGGGTTAGGTGGAGCGCTTGCACCAATTGCACCAATGGCGCCCCGCCACTGGTCTTCAGCCTACTCTCAACATGAAAAACTAGCAGCAGGGTATCCGATAGATGAACGGACTTAAAAGAGTCGATTGTCGAGTCATTTTGGAAAAAAGTGCGCACTGCTTGTGAACGGAAGCCTCACTTATTTACAATGGCGTCTTAGAAGACGGACTTTCCCAAGATTAGATCAGAACAAAATTTAAAAAAAAAAATGAAATTTAAACTACAGTGACTTCAGACTCCTCAATTACTATGCACCCTTTAAATGATTCTGAACCACCGGGGTTTTTTTTAATTCGAAAGTTAAGCGGTTCGGAAGCTGTAGGCGAACACAGTGACGAACTTTTACAAATACAATATAACGAACCACTTAACTTTCGAATTTGAACAAATTAATGGTGGTTCAGAAACATTTTTTTAATATTTTTTATAGTAGATGGTTTTTCGGCGCTCGCAACTGCATAAGGTCATATGAGCGCCAAGG